AGATTTTAATTGAAATCAATTTAAAGATAAAAAATAAATATGTAAACTAACAACAACAAATGTATACTCAAACAAATTCATCTCTTTACGCATTTTCCCATTTATGCTTCTATCTTTAAAATATATATATTTTTTCCATTAAGTCAACAGAGGAAGTCACATTTGTTTCATGAAATTCCCTCAGAAAAAGAAACTTTTGTTCTTAATAAGTTTCTTTCTCAGATTAACCATTCAGCACATACAGAGACTGACAGATCAATGTTAATATTAATAAGAAAATTTTAAGAATTGCAAAAAATTAATAATTTTCCTGTAATGTACTCTTGAAAATAAGCATTTTGACATGTAATTTCTTTTCTATGATTAACCATTCAGGAGATACAAAGCATAAATGACAGACAGACATTTGGTTGTTATAAGTATAGATAACATTTCTACATAAAGATTCAAAGTCTATACATGAAATTGTTTTTATATAAATGAAGTGCATGGACAGATATAAATTATTGCCTTTACTAAACCTCACAGCTGAGGATTATTAAATGGGCTTGTTTTATAAGTACTAATAAACCTGAATCATTTGTATTTTAGACCACGAACAATGGATTTTACAGTAATTTTGAACTTGCAATGAGCCAATTTCAGCAGTTGCTAAACACCAAAGGATTTCTCATCACATTCATTAATACACTTGAAAGACAGAAAACGTTCAGCATACGAGATAGGTAAGCTTTTGATATTCACTGTAGAATGCATTATGTACTTTATTAACCTGTAAGTGGAACAATGCACTTGTAATGCCTGTTCAATTAAATATGTGAAACTGACAAGTAGATGCTGTAACATCTTAGGAATTTTATTCCTTTAGTAAATTCCATATAGAAGTATAAGCAGAATGTGTAATACATATATGTTGAGAATATTTTTGCACACTAGTATGTTTGTGCATGCATGTGTGTGAAGTGGATATGAGCACCTGTCCTTGAGGAAAATTGACTTGTTCACTTATTTTCAACTGTGATGTACAACTTCTATTATTTTTCAGAGTCAATGTTGCTTCATTGCTGATGATTGCTTTAATTGAAAAGATGGAATATGTTACAGAGTGAGTATAATGCTTTGTAGATTTTTTCATTGTTTGATGTCTTATATTAAATATATTATATTATACATACTTGCAACTGTCAAAACTTACGTGCTAGTTTTTAAGGAGAAGAGACATATGTAGTAGTTGTTTTAGTCAGTTGACCTTTATTTTGTCACTCAACGAAAGTTGCTTTGCCAAAATGCTGACCACATATTTCTCTTTCACTTTACAGAAATTTTATCCACTTTTTATATTATTATTCTTAATTTCTGCTGCTTTTGCCTGATAAATAATGTACGATAATATTGTGAATATAATTATTATTATTAATATTTGTTATTAATTCAAGAAGCATAGACTTAATGCTTATTTGTTGCTTGTAATATAATACTGTTGCTAAAATTATATTATGTTCTAGGGTTCTAAGATGCCTGCTGATGCAATTGATTGAGAGGTCAGTTAACACCAAACATCCTCAATTGATGTTACGAAGGTAAGCCTTAGAGATTTCTAATTTTCCACATTGACTTACTTGTTAGACAAACAAAGCTTTTTAGATGAGGAAAGGCAATCATAGTGATAGAGCATCAAGTAATTAAAAATCAGTTTTTATTTAACAGGAAAAAAAAGCAACTTATCAAAAACATTGCATGATATACACATTCCTTAGCATCCATATATTACTTTATAATACAGATCTGCAGTGTTGTTTATTCATTCACGTAATATACTGAATATTTTAAGAAATAGAATAAATTTGTAACTAAAGATTTGTACCTCTGATTATATTTCCAGGTTATTTGTTTTCCATTAGACCAGAAGTCCGATCTGTTTATTTGTTAGTTTTGAGCACAATATCTACAAAAGATAATAATTTGAGACTTTTATTTTATAAATTCACAATAGTATTTGATAAAACTAATTTCTTCTTCAACATGTTATAGGACTGAATCATTGGTAGAAAAGATGTTGACCAACTGGATGGCACTGAACATGTATGATTATTTAAAGGTAAGAGGTCTATTAGTTTTGTTCTTTTTAATTATCAAAATCATCGTTAACTTTGTTGTTTTTCCACATTTTTAAAAGTTCTAAACATTTATTTAAAAAAAAATTAAAACAGATTAATGTTAAGAAAATAAAATGCAGCCAATTGATTGCCTTAATAGATTGCTGTTAACAATGAAAACACTTAACTTACGAAATAATGATAGCTAGTATTTTACTGTATGAAATACTTCTTTTGACCAATTCACATTAACATTTGTAATATTATGAAAATTCTTTAAAATACCATTAGTTATTTACTTGATAATTAACACAGCTGATGTAAGAAATCTTATGATTTAAAAAAATGTTTGATGTAATCTGTTGTATTATTAATAAATTCAATTAATTCTTAATTTATGACTAAATAAAGAATATTTTACATGGTTTATATATATATATATATATATGTGTGTGTGTGTGTGTGTGTGTGTGTGTGTGTATGTATACACAGTGGTGGCAAAACCAAAGGGCAGGAGACTAGCCCTCCACCATGAAAATGTGGGGGCAGGGTATGTTCATACCTATCAGCTTTTAGCCTCAAGGCTTATAAGAGGCAAATATTTCACACGTTATTGAACTGAAAGCATTTCCTTTCTCATGCTGATGATTTGAAAATGCTATGATATACAAATTCCTATTAAAAAATGGAACTAGGTTTTAACACCCTACAAACAAATCGGTCTTGCTGTCCAGGGACTTCCACAGATGCATAACATTCTAGTATAGATCTATATCCATTGAGCAGTATCAGTGCAACACTACTGAAGGTAAGCATGTTCCTTATCATAATAAAAAGTACAAAAACCAAAGCTAACTATGGGCTTTAAGAAACTTGCATAGTGCAGTTACATAAAAATCTATTATTAAATCAACACAATGGTCGAATTTTGCATAATGTAACAATTGTGTTACTATAATAATTTTTTGTCTATTTAGAATTTTAATGCAAAGCTACACAATGGGGTGTCTGTGCTCTGTTCACTGCTAGGAATTCAACCCTGGATTTTAGCATTGTAAGTCTGTAAACTTAACCTTTACCCGCAGAGGAATGTTAATAAATGAGACTTATGGAAGTTAAATTTCGATATTTCTTACAGAAGGAAGCTCATACTGGAATCTTCTTCTCCCTCCCCCCCACAATTTATAAAAAAGCTTCTGCTCTACTTCCTTACTTCTGTTTAGAAATTGTGCATAATTTGTGCATTACCATTTCCAGAAACACTTTTGTCTACTCTAAATTATGGTTAAATTAAAAATAGAAAGTGTTACGCATAATGGAAATACGATGGTGTAATTGTATGCTCACATGCATCTTGACTGGTGGGCATGCTTAAAATATGGACTTCAATTAGGATATCATGATGCATTTGTGAAGTATGACTTTTAGTGCCATGTATAATAAAAATACTATAATTTATGCATATTTTAAAATATTATACATGTTGTATGCTTTAAGAATACTTAGATTCTAACATCTTTTACAATTACAATATTATGGATCTATAAAGTTTAAAGATAGATGTCTGTTGAAGAAATTGACTAAATGTTGCCTTAAAAATGCTGCATCTCAACATACTGAGAGAAACATATAAGAAACATTCTTCTTATATGGCAACAGGCATGAAGAAGTGACATGGTTTTATATTTTATGCTGTTGATATGCCACTTTTTTGTGCAGGATCGAGCAGGGAGAGCACTGTTTCTTTTATTCTGTGCTGTGAAATACCAAGTTGAAAAAGGCCCTGTGGATGCCATTACCCATGATGCCAGGTACTCTCTTTCTGAGGAACGCTTACTGCGAGAACAAATAGAGTATTTTACAGTGGTGAGTAGTATGTTTACTTTCTAGCCTTTTGGTTAAAGATTCTCAGTTTGGTGTTTACTTTTGTTTTTTCAACAGAGTTTCATAATATAGTGAATAATATGCTTATCATTATTATTATCTCATCTCTTTCTTATTTGCTATAATAGTTCTAATGTTTCTCTCTTGCAAGCTTATACTTGGTATGGTGAAATTAATCTTATTTATGGTCTGTGTTCTATGAAATTCTCTTGTATTTACCTTTGAAGTTAGCTATAGTGGTATTCCTTTAATTTATCATTTAACACCTTTGGTTTTATATCTCAGTTGTATTTAATTATATTTATTTTACACAACAGTTTCCTATTGAGAGTGGATACCTATTAGTATTTTATACCTGTCTCTCTCTCTGGATTTTAATTAATTGCATTTAGCTAAGAAAATAGTATATCTAATTTGTTAAATAATAGTTTTATTTGTGTTTATCTAAGAAAGTATCAAAATGTGCTGATTATTTAACATAAATTTTCCCCATTTCTTTCTTTCTCACTGTGATTTCATATGTTGTGTATTTTCATAAGACTCCTTGTTCCTGATGCATAAAAATATTGGTAATTATCTATTCAATATTTTATTATTTTAAAATAATTTTGTTGAGTTTGATTAATAGAGACTTTAATAAATGTATCTTGTTTTTATTTATCTTATACACTTGATCCTTTATCTGTTTATGAGCAGATCATTCACATTGTGCAAGAGAATCAAGATGAAAAACTACAACTACGAGTCAATGACTGTGATACTATTAGCCAAGTAAAATTTAAAGTTTTAGATGCTCTATATAAAAATACACCGTTTTCACTACGTCCCTCAGTACATGATGTTGACTTAGGTAAGTAAATATAACTAAAATGGAATTTAATTGTTGCTTGTAGAAAAGTTAGAGACGTAGCTAGTTATTGAAATTGGTTGTAATATTTTAAATACATCTTAAATATAAATTAATTATTTACTTAGGGGTCTTAAATGAAATAATTTCAATTTCATAAACATTTAAGAAGTCATAGTCTGAATGCAAGGTGATATTTGTATTAAAATTAAAAATATTTTTTCACATTACAGTTTTCAGATTTCATTTGAATATCAAAAGATTTTGGCAGTAAAACTTTATACTTTATTGCTATTTTCTCAATCTTAACGCTATACTGGCTCAGTCCATTTTTCTGATTATTTAACCACCACAAAAAAAATCTAAATTACCCTTTTTTTCATCCTAGAATGACTGCAGGTTGTAACAGAAAATTACAAGTCTCAAGTTCATAACAGTTTACATCTATTTTTATTGCTTTAACTACTAAATATGCATTACAAAACTATAAAGACCTGGCAGCAAATATCTCATGTAATGGTTAAAACAAAGTTGTGAATTAGGTGCATGTTTCATGCTCAGACATGTTTCATTTGTTTTCTCATTTAACCTAATAAGTTTCTAATTTTACATTTTAATTACTTTTATAACAATAAATTAAAATATACATAAGAAACAAATTTAGTACTTGTGTGTGTCTTGTATTTTTAGCCATGGCATAGCGACTCATAGAATGGCTCTGAATTTTTCAAGTACAAGCTTTTAGCTCATAGCTCCATCATCTCTTGACTGATTTGAGATTTAATTACAGTTTTTGGACTCAGGAGGTCAAACCCTTTTAATTGATGTATTTGATCATGCCCAAGGTTTCATAGATTAATTTACTCTAAATCTGTCTAAAAGAAGTTCAATTTGAGGATAAGCTGCTAGAGATCCTTATGAGTAATAAAATTGAATTGGTATACACTTGCCCCATGCTTGGTATTACTGGTGCAAAAAATATAGCTAGTAAAAAAGGTTTCATAGATTAATTTACTCTAATCCTGCCTAAAAGAATTTCAAGTGTCACAGTTATTGAGGATTCCCTCTTGTTTGCAATTGAAGACTTGAAGTGTAGATAATTTTGGCTAGGGTTGTTGTTACTGTAACTATGATAGTTTAACTGGCCTTGTAACTAAAATATAAGTTCACTAAAATAATTACCTTATCATATTTAAGGTGAACTATCTGATAGGAATTTTGAATCTGTAGGCTTAATAATTCAAAAGCTAACATTATACATAATTCAATAAGTTAAAATATTCTACCTATTGGTTATAATGTAATATCGATGTTTAAGTGGGTAATTCAGAGAAAACAAGTGTCATGTGAGACATAGAAGTACAGATTGAAAATTTATTTACAATTTCCTTTTGAAATTACGAAATAATAAATTTAATTTTAATATTATATAATTTGTAAACTGTGTTTTTGTGTTATGTTTATTTACATATATTGATGATAAAGTAGTTTAATTAAATTTTGAATTTAAATTTTGAAAAGTAATTGTGACAATTACACTTTTACCTACTGGTAGCCAGAGGGTTAATGTCTGTATGACCAAATGCTTAGAATGCAGGGCTGTAGATCCAACATTCAGCCACAACATGCTGCTGAAAATGCTTTGTATTTTCTCGGGTATTATAACTGATGGTAAATCCTCCTATTCAATTAAGAATATTTATATATGGGCAGGTGCTGCTACCTGAGTGCCCTCCTGCTGGTTAGCAGGAGTGACAAGTTTGTTCTTTCATAAAAGATTAAGAAGAACATCACTGAATATGTAGCATCACTTTTTAAAGATTGTAATCTTTAACTAAATCTTTCAGAGGTGAAACACACAAAAATATTTATTATTTAGAACAAAATAAATTGATGAATATTTCTTATAATTACTTGTCCCTTAGAGCAAAAAAATAAGGCTATTGGTTTGTAGTAACTATTTCACCAGTTTGATTAAGTGGTTTTATATGTGTGAACCATATAGTTCTGTATACACCAGAATGGAGATCTGGAAAAAGTGGCCAACTGACCCTTGCAGATGAGGACTTGACCACTAAGACAGTCAGTGGTTGGAAAAGGATTAACACTCTCCGACATTATGGGGTGACAGAGTCCGCTGTGATGAGCCTAGTCAGCAGACAAAATGATAGCCTTAGTTCGAACTGTAAGGGTTAGTCGGAGGTTTTATTTTCTATTGTATTTCATCCCAGTTCATGTTGTACACAAAGCAAGCACAACTTTTAATTTACAACTAGAATCTTAATCCAAAATCTTTCACATATTTTGTATTTTTTTTCTTTTTCTGAACAGTTGTGTAAAGTTGAATGTATGTTTATTGAATTATAGTAATAAATGAAATGTTATGAAACTACTTTAAGCAAAATAATTGTCATTTCTAGTGAACTCCCTCTATAGGTGGAAAATCTCTGTAGGACCCAATACATTTGATACTTTCACATGCCCCGAGACCCTGATAGAAATTTTCATGTCTCAGAGAGAGAGACAGGTATAAAATAATAAAATAAAAGCAGTATTATTTGTTAGCACTATGAAATCTTAAGTTGAATACTCTTTAACCTCATTAAATATATGAATGATTCCAGAAAAATGAATCCTGATTAACTGACGTCCTATGAAGCATAAATTCTGAATTATCCTTTGTGTGTATGTGTGTGTGTGTACTTGTTTACTGTGGTCAACAAATATAAATCATTTCTTGTTCTAATATATTTCCACACACAAACATACACAAAAATTGTATGATGTTGCTTAACTTTATTTTGTTTCAATGTAGGCACAGGAAGCACATCACTGAACTCTACATCACCAATCATTTCAAATTCTGATGTAGAACAAGGCATCCGATACTGGCACTTAGTAAAGCCCATTGATGACCATCAAGGGGGTCAAAAAGATCACTGTCACAAAGCTATTCCTGAAATCTTCCTCACAAGACTGCTGTCTACTAAAGTATGAAACTGAAAAATACTTCCACTTATAATCTTATTGGTTTAAATTGACCAGTACAAATAATTCAGTTATTTATTTATTCAAATTTTTAAGAAACTAAGAACTTTAATTGGTTTATTTTTTGAACCAGAAACAAATACATTGTTTAGTTTTCTTCAGTAGTGGTTTAGAAAAAAAAAAAGAAAAGTAGATGAATGCATAAAACATTTATACAAAGACTAAATAGTGAACCAATATCTCAGGTGAATATGATTATGCCTTTGTAGTGAATTATCTGCACAGCTTTTACTAATATAATTTGTAATAATTTTTACCTGGCAGTGTTTCCTAATTCTTAAAATGTTTTTATATTCTAGGGCACAGTCCAGACTTTCGTTGATGACTTCCTGACCACAGTGTTGACTGTAACAGATGATATACCACCAGCAGTCAAATGGTTGTTTGACATACTGGATGAAGGAGCAATTAAGCATGGTATCACAGATCCTGAAGTTGTGCATTCTTGGAAAAGTAATAGGTATGCATTTCCTTTTTAAGTAACTGTTACATCTTGTAGAAACGAATGAATAGCAAAAGTGTGTGCCAGTTGTTACTGAAAGCTTTGTGGAGGTGGTATCTTGTCTATTACTACAGTATTTTCACTCATAAAACTAAATATAACCAGCATCAAAATTAATAACATAAAAGTAATATTATTTATTAGCACTGAAATCTTAAGTTGAATGCTCTTTAACATCATTAAATATCTGAATGACTCCAGAAAAATTAATCCTGATAAACATATTTGCTTATGTTTATCCTATATTTGTATAAAGTTACTAGGTTATCTGTATATGTTAGTTATCTATATACCCTTTCAAATTTATACTTTTGTCTGATCTGTTTTTGTAGTCTTCCTCTAAGGTTTTGGGTAAATCTTGTGAAGAATCCCGACTTTGTATTAGATGTGTACAAAACTCCACTTTTGGATTCCTGTTTGTCTGTAGTAGCCCAGACTCTCATGGATGCATGCTCCACAACAGATCATAGACTTGGGAAGGTAGTCTTGTATTTTTTTAATCATTAACACTATAATATTCTAGATATTAAACAGTTATTTACATTATTATAACAAATTTTAGCAAAGGTTTCATATGCTAAATGTGACTTACCTTAATGCCAGTGCAGTTCAATAATAACTCTGCAATATGTTTTGAAATTAATTTATAAGCAACATAGTAGTTAAATATAATTGGATGAAAAACATATTTGATGCTTGATTTCAAATATGTTGTCTATTAAGTTAATTATTAATGTCCAGAAGAACACAAAGATTGAAAAATTTTGAAAATATAAAAAAAAATGAATAAATCAGAATGTATCATTTACTATTATGAAAATAATGTTACTTTGTCAGATCTTAAAGAAAATGTGATGCTATAATGAAAATCTTTCCTATTTTAGGATTCCCCTTCTAACAAACTCCTGTTTGCTCGAGACATCCCAGCTTACAAGAAAGTAGTGATGAAATATTACCAGGATGTTGTTGCATTACCAGCAGTAACAGACCAGGAAATAAGTGCAACAATGCAAACCTTGTCTTTAGTAAGGCTTTGAACACCTTCTGCCATAAACAATATGATCATCTATCCTATATTGCTACACACATTATTTTATCTTTTACACAGTTGTATAAAGTAGGTAATGGAAAATAAGACCCATTATAAAAGGCTTATACTCTGCTCTTATGCAAACTCATTTTGGGACATAGTGTGTAGTATTAAAAATTATTTGTGATATTGCTGCAACATTAATGGTTTCTTCCTCTTAAGAAATTATCAGTATGATAAAACTTTATGTTACTCAGTAGTATATGATGCATTACAAAGAAATGTACAATAGTATGTTGTTTTCAGGAGTGGAAACACTGGTCAATAAACAGTGAAGATAATTTTGTGTACCCAATTCTGTTTGATGGTAGAATTTAAAAATAGATATTCTTTCTTTAGGCTCACTCAGGAGAATTCTATATCTTGGCTGCTCTTAAAGAGCTTTATGTTTATGCTGCAAAGTATAGTGAAGAGGTAAGACTCATAGTGACATTTACAAAAGAATAAATAGAAAGTATAAGAAAATACATGTTTTTGCTAAAAGATGACTAGATTAACATCAAACATGTTTTCTGTTAAAAATCCAGTTATTTTAACCTCAAACAATAAAGAAACTAAACATCCTATATAACATGTTTTGAAGACATTAAAAAAATATCTTATAGTACAAATCACGTGTTTTGTCTTGTATATAGTTTAAATATGATGCACTTTCATTCTTTTATAGTTTCTTGAAGCTCTTGAAACTGACCCTTGCTGTCAACAAACTCATTTGGCCCACAAACTGGAGACAGTTGCATGCACTTTAGAGGGTGAAGAAACTTCTGTTTGTTAAAGAGCTTTACAATAAATAGTGCCAAAAATATTTAGTGTTATCAAACCAGGAGAAGAATATCAATCATGGTTTAGAACAATGTCTACTTATACTCTTTTAAAGATGAAAGGTTAAGAAGTAAAATGTGAAATATAGAATTGGAAGTGAGGAAAAAAAAGTCAAAAATATTTTGTAAATCATTTATCACAAGAGTACTAAGACTGTGAGCTTAGAAATTTTGACTATACTGGAGAGGCACTTCTGTGGTTATCATTGCCAGCTATGCAAATTGAGGAAAACGTGGTTTATTTGTATGATAAGAATGTTCTGATATCTTATAAAATATGTCATCATTCCAGTAACTTCACAGAAGTTCAAGCCAAAGATGTGATCAACATACAGGTGTTGTAGGAGAGATTATATGGTCAATTTGTAAACTTGTGTATGATCTGTACAAAAAAAAACTGTTTAGGATATGTTAGTGCCTGTACAAAGAATAAACAGGGTTTAAAAAATGTATATAATTGCCAACATCAAATTGATTAGTTGTTGGATGAAGAACTGTAATTTGTTTTTTAACTTTGCATACCCATTTGTGTTAGTACAGTGGATATCTGTTCATTTGTCTACATCACAGCAAATGTGGTTATAGTGTTTTTATCGTTCAAGTCAGAATTGGTGCTTGTATGATGTAGATTTTGCAACCTTTGGTTATGGGGCCTACACGTTAACTTTGTACAGACTAGATGTTAGTATGAACAAGCAAATCACCACTGCTGCTGTTGCCTAGACTGTGATATTGTAACTGTAGTGTATTTATGTAGTATGAGAGTTGTGTAAATTACCCTTAAGTTAAATTTCCTACCTTTTACTTAAAGTTTTTACTGAAAAAAATGTATATGTGGCAATCTAAAAGTTCTTTTTCTTCAAAATTAAATAACCCCCTTTGCTGAGTGCTTATCGAGTCAAATATTTTGAATATTAAGTGGAAAATAACATTACAGTCAATCCCCTAAACTTATAGAAAAAATAATGTAAATTCTTTTTTTTTTTATCAATGGTTTTGAATATTAAAAAAAACTTTAATTTCTACCACCAAATGACTGATGGTTTTTAGGTGCAGAGGAAAAAAACATTACTCCAAAATACCAACACAAGTTTGTGCTAAATATATTGTACTAAATGTTAGAACTGAATCTGTACCAGATGCAGTAAATTTCTGCATGTAGTTTAAATGTTTTAGTATTTATTGGGTAACTAAAGATGTGCTGTGAAGACTAATTACTTTTTGAACTGGAAGTTTTCAGTATAATCCTATTAAGACCTGGAAGAGGAAAGATGTTTCCTCTTCACATCAAGTATTTTTGATATACCATCATCCTGTACCAGTTCAGGAATTTAATAAAGTGTTGATAAAAACAGTAAAGCTTTGTTCTATGTAATTGGGTCTTGTCATCTGTTAATGCATGAGAGGTTAAGATTTGCAAGATAAATAAAACTAATCACTCCATAGTGTGGATTGTTCTTTATAAAGTAGAAATATACACAAAGTCTACCACAATTTTTTAAAGATTATTTTTATTCATTCGTTTCTTTTCCTTCTTACGAATTTCATTTATCATAAACTACCACATTGAGAATCTTGCCAAGGTATTAGAATATTATCGATAATTTATACATAGTTTGTGTATTTACTACAAGTTAAATGTACTTGTGAAGAGACTATATTTTTCAGATTCACACAAGAGTTTTAACACTTAACAAATATATATACATCAAGTAACAAGCTAGAGAACCAAACCCATTTTAAGGTTTTTTTTCAATAAAATCACTTAGCAAATATCCTCTGTTAAACAAATAGCCATTGTAAAAAGAACAAGTTAAGAATCATACCCTGTTTTTATTTGGCAATTACCTTCGCTGCTGTGAGCGATATGCAATAAAGAAATTAGAAAGGTGAAAACACAGGGTAGGAATAAGCATAGTGCAATTGTGGCCAACTAGATCCTAACAAAAAAAAAAGTGAGGTTTGGAAGAAGAAAAAGTTAAGGCAGGCTCAGTCTGGTCTTGACTATGCTGTCAGACGTCCCTCTTCTGAGTGGTTGGCTGGCCGTGCATAGTTAGTTGGCAAATTGCTGTATGTGAAAAATAAATTATATACAGCACCTGTTAAAGTTAAGTTTTTTTTTTTGTGGAATATCATCAGGCAAAAAGCCAGACCCATACAAGGAGTTTAAACTACACTTCAACACAATTGTTTTCCTCTGGGATTGGATAAAAAATAAAAATAATGAACTTTTATCTTCAATTCTCTAGCTCAGGACAAACAAAAAAGGTATTAATGGAGTCTTTATAGAGATAGTTTATATTCAAACATTAAAGTAAATTTTCCACACTTCAGACTCCTCAGTACTAATACTGACATTTGTGACACAAACAGTACCCGGCCAACTTCAAGACCAATGATTAAATGCATGGAGTTTGCTTATTTTAATATATATTAAAACAGTACCAAGCCATGCTATCTTTTTATGCAGTGTATTTCTCTTCCAAGTAATTAGTGCACTATGCATTTGTGTGATTCAGGCAACGTAATCCATCTAGGTTGAAGCTTGTGAGCAATGCTGATAAAACAAAAAAAAAAGCAATAGTTGAGTAATATGCCAACTATTTCTTGGAATGGACATTTTGTGAAATGGCTTGATGATGTCAGTACTTTGCTGACTTAAGAAGGTAGCCAAGAAAGAGGTAAAGCATTACTTTGAAGCACACTAAGAATCTGTCAAGTTGAGAATTTTTCACACTTGCTTAAAAGCTACATGCTGGTAGAAATAGACACAGCTTATAGTGCAAAGTGCATAAAGCTGGTAAACATGAAAGTACACTTTCTTTTCAGCAGATATATGCTTCCTGCCCACCAAGTGTACAAGCTACAGTCTCGAGTTTTGAAACAAGGTCATACTTCTGGCAGCTAGAATCTGTTCGGAGTGCCTCAAATACCTGGAAGTTGAAATAGGAACATTAACACAATCTTTTTAACAAAGTTAATATGGCTGTATAACATTTTTTTTGTAACATAGTAAGTTCATTGTTACCTCACTACCACAGCTATAGTCATCAAACTCTTAGTTTATACATTACACAATAACTATGTTTAAAAACTGATTTTCAGTCAGTTTTGTTCCCAAGCTTTAATTTTCAAGATTTTAATTTTGTGTGTGAGTGGAGAAAGAGAGACACAGACATGTACAGTTTTAAGAAGATAAAAATAGTTACGTTACTGAACATAAAATGGAACTGAGAACACTGTGAAGTAGGATAGTAAAATCAGTAGGGAATGGTTGTTATCTAAATTGAAAAAAAGGCCTTTACACAAATTTAACTGTATAAAGTTGAGTAGTCAGTATAACTATTCTTAATTAAAAATAAACATACAACACAAACTAGGTTGGTGTTGCAAGTTAATTAGAAAGTTTCTATTGACAGCAGAATTGTGCATACCTTGCTTAAACACTTTAAACCAAAAAAATGACTTAACTGAGCAAATGTACAAACTAAGAATATTAAAAATGGCTTTAAGATATTTTCAAATGACAGTCCAAAAAATAAGCACAAATTATCAATTAATGACTAAAATTGTCATATCAATTCAAGTTACATGATATTTATACTTCCTTATAAAAATTAGTGCAAAAGAGTAGTTCTGGTACTAAGCACAGTTAACCGAATATCCCATTCTAAAAGGTTATGAAGCTCAACATATTGAACTTTTTTTCATTTTATTTTATGAATTGCCATTATGAAGTGCATCTCACCTGATCGCTATACTTTATAATATATCCATATAGTTCTTTAAGGGAATTTATAGCTTCTATCTCCCCTTGGTGTGCCTATGAAACAAAAATATTTCTTAGTTGTTAGCAAGTTTACATTAATATAAAAACAAATATAAGATAAATTTACACAAAATAAATAAATAACCTTTTAGACAACAATGCTAACCATCTTAAAACAGTTTAGTTCACTATTGGTCTTTTGTTTATGATTAAATCTTTATAGTACCATACTAGATGGTTTTGGAAAATTATGATCTTACAACTGAAAGATTCTGCATGGCCATTTTCATCTCTGGACCAGAAACTGTAGGGAGCAAGGAAATATCATGGTACAATTTTCCCACCATCCGTCTATAAGTTGGAATGTCACGAGCGAAAAGTAATTTATTTGAAGGAGAATCCTGAGTAAAAATGATAAATATATTTCATGATAATTCAGTAATACTGATTAAGTCTATAAAATTAGAGAGAAAAATATACTTTTGACATGAAGACTTTGATCCAAGAAAAAGAGAAGAATCGGTGCAAATTGGAAAAATATTTTTACTTTTGAAAGATTAGTACATTTTAAGTAACAGTATAAATGTCAGTAATGATTCAAGTATTTCATCAACATTTCTAGTTTATGTGTTGCAGCCTTCATTCATAATTTATGCATGTTAGTACAAATACAAAAACAATTTTTGAAAACTATTAGTAATTCTATAGGTGTTTCAGAATTTGTAATATTATCTAAATTCATATACTTAAGGATTTTATCAGACACTCATAACATTAAAGACATATACAACCATTTGATAGAGGCGTATTACATATCTATCCTTTGTTTAAAATTTTACTTTTTTATGAGAATAAATTTATTTTAAAGTTACTGATTTTTCAGATCATAACTTAAGTTTAATCTTGAAGATGAAAGGATCTAAAAAGGCTTTATATATTTCAAACATAAACCAATGCTTTTAAGATATGTTAATAATATTTTTAGTCAAAAAAACAATTGTGACAGAAATAAAATATGCTATTTCTTAATATCAAGAAAATACTTACTTTGCCAAGACGATGTTGGGTTGTTGAACAAGCATCCATGAAGGTCTGAGCAATCACAGAGAGAGATGAATCAACTGTTGGTGTTTTATCAATATCGAAAATGAAATCCGGGTTCTTCATGATGTTTACCCAGAACCTAAGTGGAAGACTGTTGCTTTTCCAAGCGTGCACCACTTCAGGGTCCGAGATTCCATGCTTGGCTGCAGCATCATCTAGCAAATCAAACAACCACTTGACGGCTTGGGGTAAAAGCTCATTAGCTGTCAAAATAGTGGAGAGAAAATCATCCACAAACTGCTGCACTGTTCCCTAAGTAAGAATGTTGATTTTGATTATGCAGATTCTACCTATTTAAAGCTAAATTTTGTCACAGATTCAAAATGGATAGAATAAGTAGAAACTACTTTGAAAAATATAAATTATTACTGTGGATATAATGCATATAATATTTATAAAAGTATACAATATTGACATTTAATAAATGTATGCCAAAGGAAATAAAATATTTTAATTATGAAAATAAGTCACCTAAAAAAAAAAAAAGACTTTAAAAGTCAGTTTATGGCTATCCCTCTTAATTCTTTCTATAACTTGGTTTTAAGATAAAATTCAGATCACAAAAACAGATCTTTAAAATGACTATTTTTAAAACCAAAGATAAAAAGAAAAATTAAAAAGCATATCTAAATTTCTGCATAGTATAGGTCAATCTATTTTTTCTATGCAATTTTTTAATCCTACTGCCTCTCAGAATTTTTACAGCCATTTGTTTTGATTGATACCATAACACAACTGCAATGCAGACTTTAAACACTTATTCTAATGTGGTTGTTCTACGTTTACTTACTGATATTCAAAAAAACTATATTCTTTTTTAATTAGAACCAGGAAAGCAATTTATGTTTGCATACCACAAAAGAATAAGCCTGTTAATTTTAAAGAAATCACACTTAGTCTTTCTAATTACTCCCAAAGAAAAGCTGAAACAACTCCAATCATGTACCTTTACTGTAAACCCAGTTACAATTTTTTTTATTATGCTTTAGACACAACTGAGCAGTATACATTGGAATTGCAAAACAAAATTGATCCACACCTTGGTAGACAGTAACCTAGTAAGAAATATTTCTGGGATTGCCTTGTGACAATGATCTTTTTGTTGCTGTTCTGAAAGAGGTTCATCTGCAGACTTTACCAAGTGCCAATAACGAAAGCCAGGAATTTTTTCATGACCTCGTGGTGAATTGGGTGTCATGACCCCATCACTATGATCTATAATGTAAAAGAAAGTTTGAATAAATTTTAGAATAAATATTATCTAGTTTTATATATTTTGCAGGGTTCACTTACACACAGTTTTCAATTTGCCACTACATATTTAAGAAATATTAAAAACATTTATATTCATTAAGCAATACTAGTACTAACAACTGGCTCTTCAGTAAGTACCAAGATGCTGCTAACTTAATTAAATCACAGGAACCTATGAATAAAGATCCATTTCTTAAAAATAGAACACTAACATATACCCAATTTATTTTGGTGATGCAGAAGTATGCTATAAAATATTTCTTATAATGTCACAGGTGGATTAACTATTTCATATTAATTGTTATTTAAACATATTCATAATTCTTATATATATATATATATATATATAT